ATCTGTATTGTAGAGGAATTTGTTCAGCAAATGAGAAAAGACTTGACCTGGATTAAAAAAAAAAACATTCATAGACATCGACGGGCAGTGTTGGGGAGTAACTTGTTACATGTAACGGAATTACAAAATAAATGTAACTGTAATCTGTTACAGTTACCGGGGAAAATGTGTAATTAAATTACAGTTACTTGTGAAAATGTTAAAGAATACAAAGGGGTTACACCTGAATTTTTTCACACACATAGGTTACAGATTTTATTGATTTATTTCCCAAATTGCATTGACTGCTATAAAATATGAGACACCAATGTTGCAGGAGTTTAGGACACAGTATAGGACACATGCTTATTTGATAACTGATTTATTTCCTATTTGGATTTAAGTATAGGCATTATTTTTCAAGATTAACTGTGTTTCTTCCAAAACATTGTTAGATGCCAGTGTTTCCTAACATAGCTATGCAAAGATTTGATTTCAAACAAAGTATCATAGCTATTAAACTATATCATGTTATGGTTTTAAATCAGTTTTTAACCTCAGAATGATCTCAAAGTAAAAAAAGAGGTGTTAAAGTCTGATTTTGTGGTGGCTGAGCTTTAAAATGACATTTTTTTAAATTATTATCTTAATTCAAGTGATGATAGATTTTGAAAGTCTAACAGTAATCAGAGTTGAGTCCTACAGTAAGGTTAAACCTGCCTGGTTTAAATGTTTCAAAATAATTAACAGCTGAAAACATTTGTTAGAACTTTAGAAAAGTAATCAAAATGTAATCAAATGTAATCAGTTACATTACTTTAATAAAGTAATTGAAATAGTTACATTACTTATTAAAAAAATCCCAAAAATTGCCCAATTATTAACCAACTTATTTTCATAACCCATACCTCATTTTCTGCCATTTCAGTCACTAGTTCATCCTCTCTAAACACCCTGATGTCAAAGTCCTCTGAGCCAACGAGAAGCTGGAAAGATGTGATGTAAATATGAAGGTGAATTTATAAAAGCAGTATTTTATAAATCAAAACAAATGTATTTTGTCATTATTAAGTGAAAGCGAAAAGTATAATGCCTCACTTCATTCTTGCCATCTGCAGTGAAGTCACAAAGCACAAGTGATCGCACATTATCTCCAGTGACCTTTAAAAAAATAAAGGTATATCTATGAATATCCATTTTTTATATATATATATATTTTGAAAACACAAAGTAAAATGATCTTACTGTCCAGAACCGGTCATTTCCCTCAAAGTCAAAACCTTGCAGAGCACAATTTCCTCCAATGATGGCGAGGGGGGACTGGATATCTCCTAGTTTTCCCAGAACAATGGCATTGGCCCCATCAGTCACCTGTTAAGCAATAAGCATGTAACAAACATTTCTGTCTTACTTGGATAAGAACCACTCATAAATATAATCTATTAATTTCCTGATATAAATAACCTAAGAAACCCACTCTAAATTAAGTTTTGTTTTTTTTGTTTTTTACATATCTGTATATTGTATATGAGACATGCCATATAAACCTTGCCTTACCTCCTTGTAGAAGATGTCAGTGTTGTCATGAACGTCATAGGCCAACAGGTTGGTTTGAGAGCCAACGAGCAGCGTGTGTCCTGTGGTGTTGGGCCCCAGAGTACCAGCCGTCAGACAGCTCACTGCCTGGTTGATATTGAGGAGTGAGATATCGTTGTCCTGGGTACTCTGACTCAGCCGGTGGGCTGCTGGCCTCTGGCCTCGAGTGTGAGGGTTATGGATAAAAACCTGCATGGGTTTAGAAGTTAGACTTGATAGTAATGTATGGAAAACACACAAATAGATAAATATGTAGAAGACACTATGGAAGCTTGTTTTGGCCATGGGTTTAAAAAAATTTATTTTGATTTATCTCGAAGTTCTGAATTTTTTATTGACAATTATTAGTTTATATCTCACAATTCTGACTTTTTTCAGAACTGCGAGATACCCAAAACTGTGAGATATAAAATCAACCACAGGAGCTGCTTGTCAAAACAAAAAAACTTTGTTGTGGGGAAAGCTAAAGGCTATATAAACATTTACATAAGAGCACTATGAAGTCCATTGTAATAAAATTCAACAACCAAGGCAACTACTAAGATCAAGCTGTGTTGCCAATGTGAGCAAATACTGTCAGATAAAAAAATGGCACTTGTCAGAAGAAAACAAGCTTTGTGCATGAATATTCTTGAACAAAACGTGCTTTGTAAATTTGTTGAATTTGATACTGACGCCAAGGGAAGAATAACTATTACAATGAGTAATCCAATATAATGTTACATAATATATAATACTTCTAACTTACCTTCCCTGCTTGCGTGGCGGCTGTGAGGCATGGGTGTATCCCATCATATTTTCCAATGGCAACCATGCGAGGGTTAATTTTATGGTTCAGTTTAAGGGTGAAGATGGGCACTAACATGGTGGCACTGCTCAACGGCAAGTTCAAATCTGTTACTAACAAAAAAAAATAAACCTTTGAAAAAAAATGTAAACAGATGTTAAAACAATGGCTAGGTGAACATTCACAGCATATACTAGAAAAATCACAATCAACTGCCTCCTACATGGATATATATAAAGTGATGATAGATTTTGAAAGTCTAACAGTAATCAGAGTTGAGTCCTACAGTAAGGTTAAACCTGCCTGGTTTAAATGTTTCAAAATAATTAACAGCTGAAAACATTTGTTAGAACTTTAGAAAAGTAATCAAAATGTAATCAAATGTAATCAGTTACATTACTTTAATAAAGTAATTGAAATAGTTACATTACTTATTACATTTTTAATAGGGTAACTTGTAATCTGTAACTTATTTCTAAAGTAACCTTCCCAATGGAATGGTGGAAATGTGGAATAGTTTCTATCAGATGTAAATAAAAGTCCATTCGAAGTCACTTTCCTGCTTCTGATCCTATGATTTAGTTCGCCCAAGAATGAATGTTCTGGTATCATTTACTCACACCCATGTCAATCCAAACCTGCATGACTTTTTTCCTGCTGTGGAAGGTAAAGGAAGATATTTTGAAAATGGTCTAAGGTTTATTTATTATTATTATTATTATTGCATTCATTGGAGGCCAATGTTAACCAAAACTGGTTACCAAAAAATTCAAAATATCTTCTTTTTGTTTCTACAAAATATAGTCATGCAAGTTTGTAACGACATGAGGGTGAGTAAATGACAGATTATAAAATAGTAGTAGTTTAATTACACCAATACTGAGGTGAATTAACTTTATTTACAATACTAGCTAGCTACCTTACATTTTTTCTGGCGCTATTTCAACAATCAAGCAGTGTGTTGAGCATTTTTGGCGATGGTCTGTTCTATCAATGTCTGGTTCGTGAATTAATCTTTTTTTTTTGTTGTAGTGGGTAACAATTTATTGAAATTATAAATTGAAATATACATTCCTTTTTAAATTTCATTCCGTATATTTACATTCCTTTTCGGTACAGTGGTTGTTTAGCTAGCTACATTTTGAACGTGCTCAACACTGGATATAACAAATCATTAAAATGACAGATAATTTATTAATAAGGTAGGCTATTTCACAGAATATTAAACGTCCACTTGTTGAGTGAGCATAGCTGTTCTGAATGCGCGTTTGTTTGGCATTTTAGTGCTTGAATGATCTTCACCCCCAAAATCCAAAGACACTCTGCACTCGTTACTTTTCAGTTATAAAGAAGTGATGGGTAATGGAAAAATACTCCCGGTCAACAGCGAGTGAGTTAACGAGTGCAAATCAATTCTTCTGTTTACTGTCGTCTTGCCAGCATCCTCGCCGAGTGCAGACAGGGGGAGCACGTGCAGTTTCACACGGACACGTCACAGTTAGTTTCACTTTAGGCGCCGTGTGCAAAAAGGGACAAACGACAAACAATTACACGGGAGAGAATAAAGCTTTCAAAAATTCAAAATTTGCCTGTACGCGAACATCTTCCAAAGACGCCCTCGATGGGCCTTATCTGCTTAAATGATCATTTATTTATGCTTAAATACGTGTTTATTTTCATATTTAGTAGGGTAGTATCACTTTGCCTTCTTACAACAATCTAAAACCATTAAAGAAACTCAAAAACTGAGCAAGTATGACAAAGTATGGTCTTTTATAGTTCTCTTTGACTCTAACAAAATAGTGTCTTATTAAAAAAAAGTTGTTAATAAAAAGAATATCTTTCACTTCCCAAAAAAGGAAATAACATACAAAAGCATCGAAGTCTCTAATCACATAAACACTCCGCAATCAATATTCAGCCCGCGGAGCGGAAATGGTAGTTATATAATCGTATAAATACCACATTGATGTGAATCAGGGTGGGCTTGGTGATTCCTGATTGTTTGATACTTTGCACCCAGTTTCATTAATGAGTCACCGTGTGCAGACTGGAGCGGGCGGGCTTTTGCGCTCGGGCTGTGTGCAGTCAGAGCTGTATAAAACCAGCGCACGATCAGTCCTCTGGTACCTTCCACATCAACGCATTCACAAACCGAGTGAAGCGAGACTTTCGGACTCTTTAAGGATACTCTTGAGGGAAAATGGATCCTTGCGATTGCGCCAAGAGTAAGCTTTTTAGATGCTGACTTTTCAATTATGCTGAACTTACTGTTTGTACTTTGAAATCTAGTTTCTTATAGACTTGCAATCAGTGTCAACGACATTTTAATTTTTGCTGTGGGGTTTATTTTATTTTTCTCTTTCTCCTGCGTGTAGCTGGAACTTGCAACTGTGGTGCCACCTGCAAGTGCACTAATTGCCAGTGTACAACATGCAAGAAGAGTACGTAAACTATTATCGCTCGATATTAAGTTCTTTGTCCCTTTTTTTTTTTTTTTCTTTTTTCTTTTAAATCGGGTGGCTAATGTTCTCTCTCACACACAGGCTGCTGTCCCTGCTGCCCGTCTGGTTGCAGCAAGTGCGCCTCTGGCTGCGTGTGTAAGGGCAACTCCTGCGGCTCCAGCTGCTGTCAGTGAGGAGGTCAACGTGATGTTTTGTTCCAATGTGAACTTGTTCGTCTGTGCTGCGCGGCTTCGTTTTTGAATCGAATGAATGTTGTCTTTTTACAAGATAATAAATGGCCTCCAGTTCTCAAATCTTTTGACTGTTTAATGTTGCAAAATCGTTTAACAAAGGCTAAAGAAGGAAAACAATGCATTGATTTGTACTGCTATAAATAAGAGTATCACAAGATGTTTGTTCTTCATAAAAGGACAACTGTAAGTTTTTCTGCAATGTACTTTGTCTACAATATATAAATTTCAGCAGTTATTGGTCTGTTGCTTTATTTCACAGCTTTCTTGTATTTGTACACGCCAATGTAAGTTTCAACTTGGAGGGTTGGCTCTTGCCCAGTTGTTGCCAAGTGCTATTTTAGTAATGCAAGTTTATTTATAAAGGACAGTTAAACGAGTAAGAAAGTGTTCACATGAAACTTCTAAAAGTCAAAGCAGCATAGAGGGGAGGGGGAAGTAAAAATTGACCTAAAGTGTTTAAAATCTGAGCTGATTGAGTGCAATAAGTAGGATGCAATCATTCAACAAATGCAGAGCTAAATGGATGTTTTCAGTCTGAATGTAACTGATGGTTGGTGTATCTGATCTCTACTGGACGCTGGTTCCAACTGTGGGTGTTAGAATGGCTAAAAAAACGACTCTCCTTGTTTTGCGTGAATCCTTGGTGTTTCTAACTGACTTCATAACGACCAGTTGTTTTAATATGAAATCCCACCACAGTGATGGGGGGTGGGATAAAATGGTGTTCAATTGATGGGTTGCAGATAGTCGGGAACAAATGCAAAGATTAATTAATCTGCTGATGTCCGTATATTTTGGTGCAATTAATTTGTTAGTTAAAAGAAGCAGATGCCAACATGGACAGGCTGCATGATATATCCTCGGCGTGTAAGTAATGATATGATATAATAGTATTCATTTAATATTACTATAATTATGTATAATAGCCTACTTATACTTCATGTATCACTAAATCATATATCAAATATCACCATCGATCAAGTATAGGACATCGCTGTATCATCACCGTCAGGTTTCAGCCAAATGGTTTTCCAAGCAATCTTACAGAAATTGTATCTTACCCATAGACTGTATAAAAACAGGATCTGACCCGATCTCACTTATATAAATTATTGTAAACCGAAACATCTGAATAAAGTTCTATCGAGTCGCGCGTGCTTCTGGGAAAAACCAGTTTGAACCAATCAGCGCGCGCTCAATGTAACCCGGGAGTTAACGAGGGGGGCTGTGTTTAGCATAGCGGCTAAAGTGGAAATTATCCTTTTATAGCCGCTCTAAGGATTCAAATTCTGGGAGGTGGGTTGTTACATATGCGTTAATTAATCAGCTAGTTAATCGAAGTCTCATTTGACAGGTGGCTGTCTGGGACGCGTTTGCCGACAGCACCTCATGTCAAGTTAGCTTGCTAGCAAGTGACAGTCGTTTTTAGTCACTAACGTTACTGCTGTTTCACAAGTACATTCATTCAACGTAGTTCTAATTATGTGTGTATTTATATGTTCCATTTAATAAAAATATAATGCTAAATAAATGAGTATGTAATGGTACAGTTTATTTGATTTTATTAATAGTAGTTAATCGTGTCTTTGACATCCTAAAGTTAACATAATTATATGTATATAGTGAAATTCACACAGTTACTACTGTACAATAATAATAATTTAACATGGAATGACCTTCAAACTGTAGGTTTATCTGTAATAAGCTTTGAGAGTTTCTTTCAGTTTTATTGTAATGAAAAAAGCTGTAGTAAGTGGTAATTTGCTAACCAGTGATAACCATACACATTACAAATTATGTGCATATCACCATGTAACGTAGACATGCTCTTGTGTTGCTGTCAGGTGAAACAGGAGCTGCACATGGATACTGAGGGCTTCGGGGAGCTCCTGCAGCAGGCAGAACAGCTGGCAGCAGAGACTGAGGCCGTGTCCGAGCTGCCCCATGTTGAGCGAAACCTACAGGAGATCCAACAAGCAGGAGAGCGACTACGTTCCCGCACTCTCACCAGAACCTCTCAAGACACAGCTGACGTAAAAGCGTGAGTTTTTAGTCTGGTGTCTGTATGTCATTTGGCATGACACTTACATTTATTTGAAGTCATTTGGGTCAGCATATTATTTATATCTGTACTGTCATTTTTTTTTTAAATCTTCAGCTCCATCCTCTTGGGCTCTCGGGGTCTTGACATCTTCCATATCTCTCAGCGTCTTGAGAGTCTCAGTGCTGCCACTACATTTGAGCCTCTTGAGCCAGTCAAGGACACTGATATTCAGGTTAGTGCATGTTTTACTTGGGTGGGTGTTTTTAGTCCTAGTTGAAATTGATAATTTTTTTATACTTTATATCTCACCACTGCATGCATTGAGATGCAGCTGTTTAATGTCAGATATTTAGCCACTGCAGTAGTTGTTTGAACTCTATTATCTGTTGATATCAAAGGGCCCTAATTATCTGGATGTACACTACCATTAAAAAGTATGTACAGCTTTACCAAGTATGCATGCTTTACCAAGGTTTAATTTGTTTGATCAAAAATACAGTAAAACATTATATAACACTATATTATTAAACATATTACATTTAGAACAATATTGTTAAAATATTACAATATAAAATAACTTTTCTATTTTATTTATTGATTAAATGTAATTTATTCATGTGATGCAAAGCTGAATTTTCAGCAGCCATTACTCCAGTCTTCAGTGTCACATAATCTTTCAGAAATCATTCTAATATGCTAATTTGGTGCTCAAATAACATTTATTATTATTTTCAGTTTTTTCATGATTCTTTGATGAATAGAAATCTTTCTTACCCAGCATTTATTTAAATGTAAATCTTTTGTAGCAAAAATGTCTTAAATGTCACTTGATAAATTTAGTCCTTGCTGAATAATAATAATAATAATAATATTTATTTAATTTTGTAGCAAAAATGTCTTAAATGTCACTTGATAAATTTAGTCCTTGCTGAATAATAATAATAATAATAATAATAAAAATCTTACTGACCCCAAAACTTTGAATGGTGCTACACTACCAGTCCAAATTTTTTGAACTTTTTGAACTGAGCATGTGGGAGTCATTTATCAATTTGATGGGCAAATCTCCAAATTGTGCTAGTGCATCATAGTTGCTACTATAATGTTTTTATCTCTCTTGTCATCATCTTTTGTTTTTTGTTGTTGTATTTTGTTTGTTTGTTTATTGTCCCTCTTATATCAGCGGGAGCGGGTAACCACAAAATGTAAGAAATGGTTGTATTATATAAAAATTAATAAAAGGGGGAAAAAAATAAAAGTTTTTGAACAGTAAGATTTTTAATGTTTTTTTTATTTTTAAAGTGTCTTCTGCTCACCAAGCCTGCATTTATTTGATCCAAAGTACTGCAAAAACAGTAACATTTTGAAATATTTTTACTATTTAAAAATAGTATTTATTTTTACTATTTAAAATAAATATTTTCTGTTTGAATATATTTTAAACTGTTATTCCTGTGATTTCAAAGCTGAATTTTTAGAATTTTTATTGATGCTTCAGAAATAATTCTAATATTCTGATTTGCTTCAAAATATTACTGCTTTTGCTGCTTTTGCTGTCAAATTATGGATGCTCATTTTAACCAGTTAACCGTTAACCGAACGTAAGAATTTTGACCGGTTATTACAATGTTAAACGTTTTTTTTTTTCAAATCCTAATTTATCAAAATATTTTAAAAGGTTTGCTGCATGGTTAAAATACGCCACGCGTATAAAAAAATATTTTTTTAGAGAAAAAACCCCCCCATAAGTCGCGTATGTCGCATTTTATTATTTCATTCAGAAATAGGCCTAATGCCGCAAAACGCAAAATGTTTGCAAACATTATAATAAACACTGTAAACATAGCTAGGCTATTTTAGTTCCCCTCACTCCACAACAAATCCTTTCAATTTAATTTTAAATCTTCAGCTCCATCCTCTTGGGCTCTCGGGGTCTTGACATCTTCCATATCTCTCAGCGTCTTGAGAGTCTCAGTGCTGCCACTACATTTGAGCCTCTTGAGCCAGTCAAGGACACTGATATTCAGGTTAGTGCATGTTTTACTTGGGTGGGTGTTTTTAGTCCTAGTTGAAATTGATAATTTTTTTATACTTTATATCTCACCACTGCATGCATTGAGATGCAGCTGTTTAATGTCAGATATTTAGCCACTGCAGTAGTTGTTTGAACTCTATTATCTGTTGATATCAAAGGGCCCTAATTATCTGGATGTACACTACCATTAAAAAGTATGTACAGCTTTACCAAGTATGCATGCTTTACCAAGGTTTAATTTGTTTGATCAAAAATACAGTAAAACATTATATAACACTATATTATTAAACATATTACATTTAGAACAATATTGTTAAAATATTACAATATAAAATAACTTTTCTATTTTATTTATTGATTAAATGTAATTTATTCATGTGATGCAAAGCTGAATTTTCAGCAGCCATTACTCCAGTCTTCAGTGTCACATAATCTTTCAGAAATCATTCTAATATGCTAATTTGGTGCTCAAATAACATTTATTATTATTTTCAGTTTTTTCATGATTCTTTGATGAATAGAAATCTTTCTTACCCAGCATTTATTTAAATGTAAATCTTTTGTAGCAAAAATGTCTTAAATGTCACTTGATAAATTTAGTCCTTGCTGAATAATAATAATAATAATAAAAATCTTACTGACCCCAAAACTTTGAATGGTGCTACACTACCAGTCCAAATTTTTTGAACAGTGTTTTTTGAGCATGTGGGAGTCATTTATCAATTTGATGGGCAAATCTCCAAATTGTGCTAGTGCATCATAGTTGCTACTATAATGTTTTTATCTCTCTTGTCATCATCTTTTGTTTTTTGTTGTTGTATTTTGTTTGTTTGTTTATTGTCCCTCTTATATCAGCGGGAGCGGGTAACCACAAAATGTAAGAAATGGTTGTATTATATAAAAATTAATAAAAGGGGGAAAAAAATAAAAGTTTTTGAACAGTAAGATTTTTAATGTTTTTTTTATTTTTAAAGTGTCTTCTGCTCACCAAGCCTGCATTTATTTGATCCAAAGTACTGCAAAAACAGTAACATTTTGAAATATTTTTACTATTTAAAAATAGTATTTATTTTTACTATTTAAAATAAATATTTTCTGTTTGAATATATTTTAAACTGTTATTCCTGTGATTTCAAAGCTGAATTTTTATCCGGTCACATGATGCTTCAGAAATAATTCTAATATTCTGATTTGCTTCAAAATATTACTGCTTTTGCTGTATTTTGGATCAAATTATGGATGCTCATTTTAACCGGTTAACCGTTAACCGAACGTAAGAATTTTGACCGGTTATTACAATGTTAAACTTTTTTTTTTTTTCAAATCCTAATTTATCAAAATATTTTAAAAGGTTTGCTGCATGGTTAAAATACGCCACGCGTATAAAAAAATATTTTTTTAGAGAAAAAACCCCCCCATAAGTCGCGTATGTCGCATTTTATTATTTCATTCAGAAATAGGCCTAATGCCGCAAAACGCAAAATGTTTGCAAACATTATAATAAACACTGTAAACATAGCTAGGCTATTTTAGTTCCCCTCACTCCACAACAAATCCTTTCAATTTAACAGTATTTAAAAAAAAAAGGACAAGAATTAAAAATATAAGAAGCTATAGGCTAGCTATATAAACGACAGGCTAAAACGAAACTGAAACCAACGTTGGGTCTCTCATTCAACAAAATCAAATGTTTCCGTATTCGCCATGTATTTGAATGCCAAATTATTATTTATTATGTAGCCTACTTCACTGGCGTTCCAATATCCACGTAAAACAAAATGTTTTGCATAACATCACGGCGGTACGGTGATAGCGCTTAATGCCACAGATTTTACTACATATGGAAAAAAAAAAACATTGCTCAGTTTAAATATGTTTGACTGGCTGTATTTTATTATGATAATGAACAGGCTGCATTATTGTCAAGGTAGCAAAGCTTAACTGTGTGCGTGCATGCGGCGCCGGTGCAATCATTTGAATTTTTTCCTTCTAACAGTGGAAGCAACTACTCCTTTTAGTCATAAAGATAATTGGAATTGTAAAAGGTTTGCTTTTATTTGTGTACATTTACAATACAAACAAATCTTTGTGCTTTTGTAAAATAGGCCTAAAAAAATAGGATGGTGCTTTCTGTCATCTTGGTTTCCTTTCGCGCAGCACAAAAATGAACCAAAACTCTGCATACTAGGCTACTTGTTGCACAGTTTTTTCTTTCGTTTTCTTAATTTATTATTTAAGTCAAAATATATTTCTCGTTTAGGCCTATTTATTCTTTTTTTATATATAAAATCAAATCGGAAAACAAATGTTAGTATTTTTAACGGGTCACAGACACTTAACTTTTCTAATTTAATTCAATTCTAATTTAAAATAATCTTGTCGGTTAACGGTTAATAATCGGTTAACGAGCATCTGTTAGGAGAAATAACCGAAATGAACATCCCTAGAGCAAATAAATGCAGGCTTGGTGAGCAGAAGAGAATTATTTAAAGACATTTAAAATCTTACTGTAGTGTATATTTGGACTTCTTGTGGTTTCATTTTAATTGTTTGGCATAACTCAGAACTGATCTTCTAAATGGATGAATCTGAAATAAATAGAAACAAGTCATTTCATGAAAATGCCTTGCAAAAGCACATTTACTTGAATATTGTGTTGTAATGGAGTTTCTTAGATAGAAAAGCAAGTTACATTTTTTATTTTTATATTTCGAGAGTCGCTATCTTATCATTGTCCTCCCTTTACAGCTTTATGGAGCTTTATGCCACCATTTTAATACAAATGTGCTCATCCAATCCATCAAATTTTTAATTTTAAATATATTTAAATAAGTTGACTAATTTCTTTGCTGTATTCTCTGCAATTTTGTTTTTGTGAAGTGCTTTCAAATGCATCTTTAAACTTTAAATTTAAATTAAATTTAAAAGTCTAAAATTAATATAATATGTGCCCTTTATTTGTGCCCTAAGTTTCTTCAATTGGATATCATTTGCAAAGTACATGTAAAGGATACTATTTTTGAAAATTAAATCCTAATACTTCATCTTCATTATTTAGATTTTCATTTGCAACATTTTTAAAAACAAGATTTGATTTGATTCAGATTTGATTCAGATTTGATGATAATGGTATACAAGTCGATTTTCATTGCAGAAATGTTCTTACAACAATTAATGACTTAACATACACTACTATT